TTGTTACCRACATCTGGTGAAAATTTCATGTCATTAGCACCTCTAGTAATATATTTACTGAGAAAAATGTTGATGTGTTCAATACTTATTTTACCCGCTGTAGATGAGTCTGACCTGCACTGCACCAAGCAATGGTTTTATGATAGACCCCATATTTGAGGAGGGGGCTTCATCTAAAAGGGGGTGTCTGGACATACAAAATAACTTATAACTCAAAAACTATTCAACATAGAAGCTTCAGATATGTTTTGTTGTTTAGTTCTGATGAAGGGCTATCAATCGGACCCACCAATGAGGAATCTGAAAATGTACTTGGGTCGTTGACCACATTTGACTTATTTCGATGTGATGGGTCACATATATGCTAYAGCTATGGAGGTATCTAGTTTGTTTTACACAGCGTCCTAACTTCATTGGAATTTGGGTGTTACATCTATAAATTATATATCTGTTAGCCCACCTTACATATATCACCACCGGTTGTTACAACAGTCCAACCTAAAAGGTAATAAATTAAAGCATTAATCACTTTTTGAGGTCTTTAGTGGGCAGGTATGACATCAGGTTTTGACTGATCGAAGCCAGAGGGCCATTCAGACTGATAAAAACATTTGATCTGGTCTTTAACATACACCATCTCAGGCTCATCTGTGAATACTTTACATCCTGAAGGGTCCAAATTGTTTACCAGCGTTCTGCAAAGCAGCTGAGAGCGAACATCTGCTCGTCCCGACCGGAGCCACGGAGGCTCAGAGGCCAGGGGGATGTGAGGGAATCCCCACTGTTCTCCACACATGGGTGGGACTTTACTACAACAAGAGCTTGAACTCTGGGAGAGGAATAAATAAATAAATAAATAAATAAATAATCCCTGTGAGGGATAAAAAGGAGCGAAAGACTCAGCGCTGAGTGTTTCAGTGAAACGACCACAGCTGAGGGGGAAGAATGTTCACCGCAGATCCTCTGAGGTCTGCTTGATTTACGGCGGGTCGTCGATGAGGAGGAGCCACAGGAAACATTACCTCATCCTGTCTGGGACCAACAAAAGGACAGGTTGTCGAACATCAACACATAAACAACACGGGGAGGTTGATTCGGACTAAACGTTCATTTTAAACAACTTCCAGACACATCCTCCACTCTTAGCTGCGTAATCGCTTCCAGAGCTCYGAGCCGCCTGAACCGAAGACGTAACCTTCAGTTTTACCAGCTGGATCTGCAGATCCTGGGTTTTCTGCTGATGAAGCAGTTTTACGGGCTGATGCTGATTTCTCCTCGCAGCGCAGAAAGCTGGCTGTAAATTACAGTTTTTGTGGAGGGAAATGATGGGTGTGAGCGCCTCAGCACGGCTTTGTGACAAGATAAGAAGAAGCAGAGCGAGACGTCTTCTGTTCCTCCTCCTGCAGCCTCACTCAGCGCCTCGACCCCGTGACTTCAGGGCCTCGCTGCTCGTCTTTAATTATTTCATACTGGAAATCATCATCGGGTAGATGAAACCCCACCCGGTTCTTCAACAGAACAAAGCTCTTTTATTCAGCAGAGTCTCTAATTAAAGACTATTTTGTTCTTTCTTCAGTCTTTAAAGAATAAAAACGCTGCAGAAGCCACCCAGTCACTGGGGCCGTTTCATTATTCTGATCTTCTAAACTCTGGTTCTGTGAATAAATATGAACAGTTTTATTCTATGGCAGGTCGTTTTACATAAAACCTGTAATTACATYCTAGATATCTAAAGTTTTCACCTGAAACAACTATATTTTAACTGTCCTGAATGGTAATTTAAGACATCCGTATTTACACTTCTTCATTTGAAGAGTCAAACATCTGTAACTACGATTCAAGATATCTCAAAAAAGAGACAAATTCTAATTTATTAGAAATAAATAATACCATGTAATATTTTATGGAAATGAGATATGAACGTTTAGGGTTTTTTGTAAATTTGAAGATTGTTCAAGCTAAAGTTTGTCATTTGTTTGAAGTTTTTTTTTTTTTAAATAAAGGGCAGATATAAGATTTTTCTTCACTTTGCACCTTTTTTATTCATAACTTGACGTATTTTTTATTTTAATTATTGTATCCATTTTTCTAAATGAGTGCAATAAATGAGAAATAAAAAATGAGTCAAAAAAATAAAATTTTAGATATCTGAAATAAGAAACTGTGCACAAGTTCCCCCTGCTGCCACTTAGCTGCCCAAACAAATGCCTGCAGAATATTGCGTGGCTGCCATGACCGACAATAAATTATTTATTTAATTCGGGTCGAGCTGCAGATAAAAATGGTTAAAAACACCAGAATTTGAGTTGAACCGACCTGACCTGCAGAACAGGGCTGGTGGCTCAGTGAGGCTAAAAGGTTTTGGAAACTTCCCGTCAAAATGCTGCGTAAATCTGACATTTTGACTGAACAGAATAATGATTCAAAATTTTAGTAAAATCATTCTGACTAGTCAAAATGTTTATTTAAAAAGGTATCTTAAATAGAAAAACCATCTAGATGAAAATATTTAAGATATCTCTATTCATTTGGCAACATTTCAAATTACATTTCTAGATACTTTAATTTTGATATTATTATTATTGATATATTTTAATATTTGCTTTCAAGATATTTGATATTAATTTTGTWCTAGTCTAATCACATATGTGATATTTAAAAATACCTTTAAGATATATTTAATTGGAATTATGACCAGTCAGAACAAAATGAGAAATATTTTGAAAGCAATAATGACTCAGCAAACCTAACTTAGAGTAAATAACTGTATTTTACCCAGTCAAAATGTAATTAGAGATAAATAACTAATATGTATAGTCATTAACCAGTTTAATATATCTGGAATGTATGTGTGGTGAAGCTGACTTTATGTTAAAATGGCCTGCCATAATAATCCATAGCACCAACCTAACACCTGGTTCACATTGATTTTTATCAGATTATTTAAATATTTAACAAAATATCAACCAGACAACAGCACAGTCTGCTATCTGAGTGACTGTTAAAGATTATGACAGTAATATACGGCTGTGATAAAGTGTTTTGGATTATGTTTAAATAAAAAGCAGTCAGAGCCAACAGGAAGTAGACAAAGAGAAACAACCAAAGAGCTCAGATTAATGAAGTGAAAAACAGAACCAGATGAACGGAGATAAAAGAAAAAAAGATGCAGATTTTTTCTTTTTTCCTTTCAGCTCGTTCCTGAGAAACAGCAGGAGACGTTTACATCAGCAGGAAGGAATTCAGACGCCATGTTGGTGAAGAAACCTCGCGCCGTTCTGGACTGGCACGACACGGTCCTGGCTGATGGTCCAGACCGGTCTCTACCAACACAGAACCAAACCAGCTTCAGCTTGTCTTTTGTTTCAARGCATTCCCTCCCTGCTTCAAACATCCAGTGAAACCAGACAAATTTAAAATGTCTACATTAGGTTTGGTCTGAGATTTCACTGCAGTTTTCCGCTTCATATCTCAAGAAAACAAATCCTTTTAGAAATATCTGTCCTCAAACTCTGAGTGGTCCATCTCTGAGACTTTAAAACAAAAGCAACCGTGATGCTTTAAACTGGGAAATACCAACAATTCAATATTTAGTCATATTTATTGTTCTTTTGACAACAAGAAACCTTCAACTTGTCTAAAATACAGAAAAAACAAACAATAAAAGTTTTAATTAGCAAAGATGTTTGTCTAAAAACTGTCATTTGACAGATTAAATAAAAACAAAAACATTAAATTGTTTTTGCTCCATAACTTACTAAAAGTCCTGCCATTCCTTCTGCTGAAATAACTGTTAAAGTACACATTTCAATGTTTTTGAACTGAAGCAAGTAATACTTTGATGCAGTGTTTCTTATTGAAGTTTAGCACTTTGCTAATAGTTTTTGCAAATTATTTGTTCATTGTTGCTAGTTATAAGCTACATTCCTGCTAATTTTGGCTTGTTTGAGTTGTAGCTATCTAAAATTTTAGCTAGCATTTTGTTCCCTTTTGGCTAGTTTTAGCCAACATGTTGCTATCTAGATAGATACGTTATTGATCCCCTTGGGAAAATTTAAGAATTCTCTGCTTTTCACCCATCGCATGTGAGCACTGAGCTTTTGCTAGTTTTAGCTTCTAGCTAATTCTTTGCTACATTAATATAGTGTTTCTTATTTAAGGCTACATTTTGCCAGTCTTAGTTGTTAAAAATTTAGCTAGCATTTTGTTTCTTTTTGCTAGTTTTAGTTAGAAAATTGTTTTAGTTGGCTTGTTTGAGTTGAAGCCAGCTACAATTGCTAATATTGCTACTTTTTGCTAGTTTTACTTTTAGCTTACATTTCATGACTTTTTGCTAGTTTTAGCCTATTGCTAATATGTGGCTAGTTTTAGATGATGTAGCTTGTTTTTCCTTTTTGGCTAGTTTTATTTATCATTTTGCATATTATTATTTTTTTGCTTGTGTAAATTTTAGCTTGCATTAAGGTACATTACCCTTCAGCTCATTTTTAGCCTTTTATTCAGGTTTCAAGTCGTTCAGCTGCTTCATTTCAACAGAAAATGTTCTTTCTGTAGTTTTATTTCCAGAGCGGTCAGCTGCCCACACTCAGCCAGTGAAACCAGTCAAATGTGCTTCCTTAAAGGGATTATTTTAGCCACTGAAACCATTTTGTGACCCACTTACAGCAGAAAAGTTCCTCCAGGTCATCTGAAAACAGAGAGATTTAGCGTGGAAACAAAAAGGCGACACGATTTTAAAAATCAAACCCAAAGAGAGCTCAAAGCCGCTGTGCTGAACGACCACACGCTGAACTCAGCCGAGCGGAGCGCTTTTTAAATCCCTCTCTAATGCTTCTAYGACAGCGTGGAACGGGTGGGATGAAGCGCAGGAGTCAGAGTGTCTGCCCTGAGGGCGTCGGAAACACCTGGATCCACCTGAAGCACGTCCTGATTACATGCCGGAGCTTTTCTCTGAGCATTCGGAGCCATCATCAGTCACCATACGAGTGTTTTCATTTTACCTCCAGGGCGCCGTCGGTTCGTGGGGAGCGAGCCRGTTTGGGAGCAGCGCAGCGGGGCGGGTGGTGGCTGCAGTGCTGCTGTGCGCCGTCGGGGTCACCTAACAGGAAGAYCAGCTGCCGAAGACCACCCTGGAGACACAGGAGATGGTAAAACGATCCATTTAATTAGGATAAATCTCTGGAAAACTTGGATTCCATTTGCTTATCACACACCACCAGTATGTGTGGATTTGTGTGTATTGTTAGTAAAATATCTCATGAACCAGTAGACGCATGTGTGTGAAACTCTGGATCTATAACTAACTGACTGCCAGAGTCCATCACTGACCCCCATCAGGGTCCACGCCCCATCTTTGAGAAGTTAAAAACACACAAATAATTATTTTTTTGTGTAAACTCTATAAAACTGTTCAGATTATGTTTTCAATATTTTTCACTATACGGATTATTTTTTCTGCCTTTTCAGCTTCTCTTTAGCCGTTTTTTGCTAAATTGAGCGTCATTTAGCTAAATTCATGTTTTGGTGGTCTTTTCAGCTTTTTTCACTTAATTCAGCATATATCTGTTCCTATAGTTTCTTTCTGCTAATTTCAGCTTTTTCAGCTAAACTAATCTTTGTGATAATTTCAGCTTTTTCAGCTTAATTCAGCAAATGCGTGCTCCTTCTGTTTCATCTGCTAATTTCAGCTTTTTCGGCTACTTTTCAGCTAAATTCACTTTGTGATCATTTCACCTTCTTACTGCTCAATTCAGCAAACATACTCTTTAAATGATGACCTCTAACGTCATATCATGTTAATTTTTTTGCGCGTTTTACTTTCTTTTGTCTAAATTTCACCTGTTACTTTTATTTTGTTCATAAGTTTCTGTTTTACGCTGCGTTGTTGCAAATATTTACTATTTCCTGCTAACTTTAGCCACATTTCTGCTCTGTTCAGCTTCTTTTGACACATCTTTGCTATTTTTCTCCTGGTTTTTCACTTTTGTTTTSTCTTTCTTTCAGTGAGTCAGCTGTTAAAATTTAACTCACACAAACAGTTTAGCTATCAAACCTGTGCAGCAGCTTTCAGCAACAATCTTTGAGCATTAAGCACAGAAAATGCAGATCCTCTTGTTTATTTTGTTTTTATGTAAACAAAGATTCAAGTGAATCAACATATTTCTTATTCAGATTCTGGTTGGTTCTGTAAAGCAAAGTGAACCAAACTTTGCACATGTGGCCTCTTACAGTCTTCAACATCCATCTGGTCCTAAAATATGTATCATTAAGCCCAATTTATAAGAGTTCTTTATGAAAAAAAAATGGTTTAAATCCAAACTGTGCCATTCAGGCGTCTCATTATAAAGTGGGCTCATGTTGCTAACACAGTAAAGTTAATGAGTTCAGCTTTTTAACTGTTTCAAAAGAAATGAGAAGTGACAGGGTGTGAGATTTATGGAGCAGACTCTCAGGGCGGAGATGCTTTCTTTTTATGATTAGTGGGAAAAATGACAAAAGAAAAAGGAAAACGKGTTGCAGAGCCACTCACTTCAAAAGGAGTTTCAAAGCTGTCAGTGGTGCCGCCGACCACGAGCAGCCCGTCGGCGCCGACCTCCATCCTGGGGTTGACCCAGTCCACGCTCTCCAGCAGAGCGCAGTCCACGTAGAGCGCCAGGCGGGTGGAGGAGACGCTGAAGGCCAGGCGGTGCCACGCTCCGTCACACAGGCCGGCCACCGGGAACCTGCAGAACGCATCACAATGTCAGCTTTTTGTTTCAGTTTTAACGTTCTGCAAGGAAAATCTTCTCATTTTTGTTTGTAGAAAACATGATGTGAAACTCAGAGGAGAGTTTAAACTAAGAGAGTTCAGAAAAAACACAAAAATGCAAACAAATGTAGAACTTCAGAGGTGGACATCTGAACATAAACTAACCAGAGGCAAGCTGCTAAAAGACAAATGAGCTGAAATAATCTGTCTGTTAGCAAAATATCCCACAAACCACAGGACAGATTCTCATACATCCAAACCCTTTTGGATATAACCTGCATACTGACCTTCAGTAAAATTAAACACAAAGTTAGTGTTACTCTCACATAATACATCAGGCAGCGGGGCTGAGAGCAGGTACAGTCCAGTGAGACGCTATGAGACAAAATAAATTTGAAGTAGTTCGCCAAAACAACATGTGTAAATAGATGGAAATAAGATGGAAAATTTGTGTAATCGATACACTACGTTTACGTCATTGGTGTTGAAAAATAACTTGCCTATGTCGACACGACACAGACATTTTTATTCATTTATAAAATTTATAAATTTCTTAAAAAAAAACCAAATTCTATATACAATAAAAATCATAAATAATATATTAACATAAAATATTGAGAATGTTTCAAAGACATTTTCAGTTCCCACAGTTCCTGAATGCTACAGATGGGAATGTTTTGTTCAGCTGCTGCCTTGAGCTGTCAATCATGATGCCACACCCCCTGTTATCTGAGGCCACGCCCCCACACCAAACAGGTCCAGAAGTTTGAGACTAAAAAAAACAAATTAAAAATCTAAAACTAAAGGAAAACCCCAGAATCTGACTCGGTTTCAAAAATTGTTATTTTTTTAACAAACTTTATGGCCCCAATTTAGCTCCGTATGTTTTGCAACAAATTCGAGACAACTGCAAACACTCTGGGATTCATTCGAGAGAAAAATTGTCTTGCAAATTTTTCGAACATTTTCAAAACTAAAAGCAAAAAGCAGAAAGCCTCTAAAACTCATAATAAATTGAGAAATCCTAGACAAKGTTTGGAGACTGAATTACGTTTGCCAGCTAGTTCCTAACTGTACGGAAGATGATCAGTGCCACAGAGAGACAAAAAATATAAACAAAAATTCTGAATTCTGAGAAAAAATAAAAAATAACTATTCTGAGATTGAAGAATTTAATGTCAGAATTTATTTATTAATTTTTAATTTTTTTTATTGTTTTTGTGACCCTAATCCTCCTCCGTATAACAGTCCCAGTTTTCAGCCATGATTTTAGTTTCTCAGATATTCTATTTGTGAAGTGATACCAACTTGCAGAAATGACCGTAGCTAGAAAAAGGGGCGCCACCTAAAATAAATTACCATAAATGTTAAAAACACGAGCAGRTTTATTTAATCTGGATCCAGATTGGACCTGACCCAGGTCTAAGTCTAGACTACGGACCCCAGTTTGAACACCCAAGATTTTCCATGAAGTTTAAATCTTAAAACTTTTCCTAACTTGAGCTGAAGCTCAGGTGCAGGACTCAAATATCACAGATTTATATCGACAATAGAAGAAATTACAGATTTTATAATGAAGTAGTTAATCTGGAGTCTGAATCCAGCCAAACATGAGAAGCTGAAAGCATCAACATGCTCCTACACCTTCAGATATAAAACCTACAGAACAGYGTCGGGTGCTGTCGATGTTTTCCAGCTCGTTTCTGTTTGATGCCTGTCGTTGATGAATGACTGAAGGAGAAACCAGCCAAGAAAYGTCAAATGAATCATTCTGTCAGGAGACGGCGAGATGGAGACACTTTCTGCTCTGTGGGGCTTTTYCATCAAAACACGCGTCTGAACGCAGCTTCAGCGTGAAACAGGATCTTGCCTGAGTTTGATCTGAGGCGGACGTTGTAAACAAACATCTGGATTTTATGGAAACGGGTGTTTTTGTTTGGGGGCGACTGCTTTAATCAATCTGGAATGATTTGAATCAATTAATCACAAACATTGTTAGTTCTTGTGTACTTAATTAGTTTGAGTTTTATAGAACTGTCTTGTAAAAAAATGAGGTTTTGTGCCTWCTTGAAAAATAAACTAAAATAAAAATCACTTTTTATGCATTTGAATATTAAAAGGGGATCCAGTGGACTCACTCGTAGTGCCTCTGCTGYGTCCCGATGAAAATGACAGCCCGGCCGCTGATCCGGAGCTGCAGCATGGTGCGGCCGTCTGGGCACAGCACGGTGAAGACGCTGCGTTCCTCGCTCTGGAAACTSCGGAGCTGCACCAACAAACTGAACTCATCTGTTAAACTAAACACAGACGGTAGCGGGTCAAACGGACCTGTTAAGCCAACACTTAGAGAAGCTAACGGTAACAGGTACCTGTCACTGAAGAGCTGCTGGAGAGGGAGGGACAAGGTGGAGTACTGTCCCACCTGGACCACGGGACACTTCCTGTCCTCCACGCTCAGGGAGGAGTTCCTGCTGTTGGACGCCTGAAGAGAAAGCTCCTGCAGAACGTTCACCTCCTCTGTGGGAAAACAAACAAACAAACATCAAGTTCTTTCTTCTGATTACTGAGCTTTATTATCCTGCTGAGAAACAAAACTCCAGCAGATCTGAGAAATGTTTATTTAAAACTGAAATAAAATAGTGTGCTCCTGCTTCGAGTCATTTATTCTGTACTTTGACATTCAGAGAACAGGACAGGAATCCCATCACACCACCACACACAGACCTTCATAATGCTGGTTTTAGCTTWCGTCAAACTGAAGGCCCACAGGCCAAATGTGGCCCAACACTGTATTTTATTTGGCCAGTGAGAGCTTCAAAGATGTATTAATATTGTAATATAAACCACCTTAAAACCAGCAGTGACCATAAACTACATCTCCCATAATGAATGTTGATTATTTTACCAGTGAAACTTCTCCTCCTCCGTTCACAGTAACTAAGTACATTTACTTAGYTACAGTACTTAAAATTATTTTTGAGGATTTGTAATTTTCCTGAGTATTTTTAATCAAAACTGTTACTTTTATTTTATTACATTAAACACCTAAAAATACTTTTTATTCTTTAAAATTTAACACCTAGTTACTCGTTACAAAATTTAATCTGAACTCATGAGGAGTTGTTTATGCACTCTAAAAAATTAAGTGTTGGATTCACTCAACCAAGTCATGTCAACTGGTTCCACTAAATTTAGTAGAGTAAATATGAGGCAAAATATATATTTTCTTTAAAAGAAAATATGTATGTTGCCTCAATTTATAGAGTATAAAAGTACCTTCCCTGATTTTTGTGAACAGTTTTATGACTTTTACTTAAGTACATTTCTTATCTTCTACTTCTACCACTACTACTACGGGAATGTTCCACTTACAAGTTGTGTATTTAAACTGGAATGCCCATCCAGAGGGAGAGTTTGAAATGCAAGATGGCAGCTACTTACAACTAATTGTGTAAAATTCTTCCTTAAAAGTTTTACTTTTAATAGTATTTCTGTATAATTTATTTCACATCTAGTCAGTTGTACATGTATTACTTTTCATGTTAAAATGTTTCTATGCAGGAAATACCAGGTACAGCAGGTATTGTTTGCTAGCAGTGATCTGGAACGTCACATTTCCTATTTAGTCAAAGTGAAACAGGAAACACTGAAGTTAATTACAAATAGGGTTGGGCGATATTGGCAAAAAAAATTTTTAATCACGATTAATTGTGATATTTAGCCAATAACGATTAACTTGACGATTAATCCCAGGTTTAGGCGTCAACATTCTACAGAGTCCGCGGTAAATTTGTTGCTTGAAAACGTTAAACAATCACTTGACAAGGGGCAAATTACTGGTGAAGTTTTTCTTGATTTGAAAAAGGCCTTTGATACAGTGAATCATAGATTACTGATCTCAAGGCTTTCATCATTTAATTTCTCAGAAAGGTCATTGTCTTGGTTTAAATCATATATGGAAGATCGTGAACAATGTGTTGGCATTGATAACAGTAAATCTGGCTTCTGTAAAATTGTAACAGGGATCCCACAAGGAACCATCTTAGGTCCGGTCCTTTTTAGTTTGTATGTTAATAGCCTTCCAGAAATTTGTCCAGAAGTCAATTTGCAAATGTATGCTGATGACACCGTTGTTTATACNATCTGGAACGTCACATTTCCTATTTAGTCAAAGTGAAACAGGAAACACTGAAGTTAATTACAAATAGGGTTGGGCGATATTGGCAAAAAAAATTTAATCACGATTAATTGTGATATTTAGCCAATAACGATTAATTTGACGATTAATCCCCTGGAGTCCCTTATGTCCTGGTCACATGACCAATTTAGTGGGAAAGATTTGCTCTACGTAAAAATCTGTTCCAAATTATGTCAAAATTACAGACTTYAGGCTATTTATCWAATTTTAAATTGTGTTTATAGATAAATACAGAACTTTTTTTTTACTGTTCATCATATTTGAAGTGGAGAGGAGCACCGAGCGGTCAGTCCGCCTGGTGGCATTAAATAATTGTCAAGTGCCAAAAATAATTGATTGTTTTTCTGACRATTAATTGCACAGGATACGATTATGCCCAACCYTAATTATAACCTTCATGATCATGTGGCCCTCAGKGAAAACCAGCTAACTAYAGYTGGATTCTCCTGGTCCTCTCCAGTTCCAAGAAGCCGCTAGGTGCTAGCACGAGACCTCAGTGGGTGTTAAACTGCGAGAAAGGCCTGGCACATGACCAGTCACCACCACTCCCAGTGGCCTGCCTTCCACGTGGCGTTTGATGCCGTCCCTTGAATACCCCCGTTTGCTGATGCATGGGTTGGTCCTGGGTGCATGTTTTGATTGGCAAGGGGGATGGACACAATCCTGATCGTAAAGTTACAGATCTTTCTGGCCAATTTACTCCACTTCATTTAACACTGTTCTCCTTAAAGACCTGCTGCAGATCTGAGATGATTCCTTGTTTTATTCTTTTACAATATTGTGAGGTTAAGTAAGGAATCTMTCTGCACACAAAGTTGTTGTTTTGTTTGTTTATTATAATTATAACAAAAAAAACAACAAGAAGAAGCGATTAGCTGCAATTTTCTGGATATTATTTCAACACGTTTCACTTGGTGTTTTATTTCCCACAGTTTGGTCCTGGATCCAGATTATGGGAAACACCAGAACAAAAGAACCCACGCGGGAAACATCTGCAGCAACCCAAACCCTCGCTCTGCCGGCACTTAAAAAACCCACAACAAAGTGCTGTGAACACACCACTCACTAAAACCCACACAATGACTCTGACTGCTGCTTTTTGAACGTGGAGAAAAGCTTCCAAACATTCCTCCTGCCCACGTCTCCATTTGGTTTTACCCCCGACCCGCTGGCTCATTTCCTGTCACTGGATATAAATTATGGAAGAGTCTTTTATTTTTACCCCAGCAGAGCAGGTAAAGTGCCGTTCATCATTTCATGCCCACAGGTGGTTTCCTTCATTACTCAGCACTTTAGCTGCTCTTCATCACATCTGGAGAAAGTGAGTCACCGTTTAAAAAAAAAAAGGAATAAAGAAACGTTGGTATTGTTTCACGCTGACTGGGACCAACGATGTAAGATTAATGAGGCTGATTGGTGCGTTCCAGAAACATGGAAAACTAAAATAATTAAATCAATTTAAACTCTTTTGTCAGGTCTTACAGATTCTAATGTAAACACTGACTTAAACCCTCTGGGATTTACCCAAAAACATGTTTCATTCCGCCTCTGGACCGACGCCAAACGTGTACAATCATCCAAGAAGATTTAACTATTTTTTTCTTAAATTTATGTTTATAAACAAACCTGCGATCATCTTTAGAGACTCATTCACTCATCCTGTCAGAGACTGAGCCAGAAAAATTACAGATGCCAGGAAACTCGCCACAGAGAGGTGGTGGTGCTAAAACACAATGTAGAGTTTGGATTTTCAGATGTTTGGGTTCTGAGTTTTGTTTACTGGAGGCGTCACAAACTTCTGCCCTGATCGACCAGCCAAAACCTGATCAGTCCGTGTGAACAGGAGGATGTGACGTCATTAACTAATACAAACATTAAATCACACCAGAACTCATTTTGTGTAAAGCTGCTGATATAAGAACCAATTGTGCAGCATTTTGTCTCYTGGAGGATTCTCTCAGCCCCTCACAGATCCATTGCTCTGACGGTTCGTGTGTGGGATCCTGAAGGAGATTGCAGAGTCATGGAAATGTGTCACCAGTGACACTTTAACCCTTAAATACATTTTCTTGTGTATTCTCCATCTCCATCTTCTTCCACTTATCCATAGTCGGGTCGCAGAGGCAACAGGTCCAGGAGTGAAACCCAGACCTCCCTCTCTCCAGCGACATTTTCCAGCTCATCCTGGGGGATCCCGAGGTGATCCCAGGCCAGAGGATACATAATCCCTCCAGCGAGTCTTCTCTAGGTTCTCCTCCCAGTGGGACGTGCTCGGAACACCTCCAAGGGGAGGTGTCCAGGAGGCATCCTGATCAGATGCCCGAGCCACCTCAACTGACTCCTTTCGATGTGGAGGAGCAGCGGCTCTACTCCGAGCTMCTCCCGGATGACGGAGCTTCTCCCCCATCTCTAAGGCTGAGCCCGGCCACCCTACGAAGGAAGCTCATTTCGGGTGCTTGTATTTGGGATCTCGTTCTTT